TAGGAATATGAGAAACTCCTGTATAATTTGGGGATTCATGTTTTACCTGAAAATCCCAGAATTACCTTGTGCAGTTGTCAGCACATGCTGCCACCCCTGATGACCTGAAATTGCAAGTTAAGATTTCCTTGTTTAGTCAAACTAAAAAATAGGTGAAAGGACAATATGACAAGTGGGAGAAAATATTTTCAAACTATTCATCCAATCAATGTACAAAATATACAAGGAACTTACAGGAAAATTAAAAAATCAAATAATTTGATCAAGAAATGGAAGAATGATCTGAAGCAAAGTTTTTCAAAAAGAAAATGCACAAATAGCCAACAAGCATATTTTAAAAATGCTCAGTATCAGTAATCATCAGGGAAATATAAACCAAAGTCACACTGATATAACATCTTGCTCTAGTTACAATAATTATTTCTTAAAAAGATAAAAGGTAATAAATGCATGTGAGGATTCAGAGAAAGGAGAATTCTTATTTATTGTTGGTAGGAATGAAATTTAGTACAAACACTATGAAAATCAGAATGAAAGTTTTTTTAAAAAACTAAAAATAGATTTATCATATAATCCAGCAGCCCTGCTACTGGGTGTATATCCAAAGAAAGTGAAATAATGTACCAAAGATATACATACATTCTCATATTTATTGCAGTACTAGGGTACTATGGTATCCATTGATAGATGATCTGATATGAAAAGTGTGGTTTATATATCATTCAACAAAACAATAAAATCATATTATCAGTAGCAATGGGACCGGAACTGGAGGACATTATATTCAATAAAATAATGCCAGGCATCAAAAGATAAACCCTGCATGCTCTCATTTACAGAAACAAAAACCATTTTTTATAGCATTGAAGACAATGGAATAGAGGTCACTAGAAACAGAAAGGGGGCCACCCACTCAGGACCCTTCTGGGGAATCCTGGAAGCTGTTCTTATTTTCAGTAAGATTTTCCTAAAAATAAATTTGATTAAAAAAAGAAACTGAGAAAGGATGAGAGGAGTGGAAAGAGTGAGGTTAGATAAGGGGTACCAATACACAGTTAGAGGAATTAGTTCTTCAGTTCTATAGCTGTGGTCTCCAATCCCCAGGTTTTTGTGGTCTGTTAGGAGCCAGGCTGCACAGCAGGAGGCAAGCAGCTAGTAAGTGAGCAAAGCTTCATTTGTACTAACAGGCATTGTCTGTCATGCACATTGCTGTCTGAGTTCCACCTCCTGTCAGATCAGGGCAGCATGAGCTTTCCATTGGAGCACAAATCCTACTGTGAACTACAGGTGAGGGGTCAAGGGCGTGTGCTCCTTATGAGAATCTAGTTCCTGATGATCTGGGGCAAGCTGAGGCAGTGATGCTAGCACTAGGAGCAACTGCCAATACAGATTAACATTAGAGAGATTTCACTGCCCAAAGACCATAGGAAGTCAACTTCCTGCAGACTTACATCAAAAGCATATCAGTGAGGGGGAGGTGACAATTAAGCTGCCTCTGGCGGCATATTTACGTCAGAATCCAACACTTATTTTAGTGTGCTTGTGGACATTATTTTCATTTACCACTTCTGTCTGTGCCTTTCTCACACTTGCATACTTGTCCAGTTATGCTGTGTATGTGTGACAGTGGCACCAGGCTGATGATGGTGTACAACATATCTAGATGCAAGAAAACAGGCTCAGGGCTCCCTCTGATTCTGTACTATAGTAAGTTAGAGAATTATTTATTTAGTATTACAATGTAATAATAATAATCAAGCACACAATGAATATGATGTATTTGAGTTATCCCCAAACCATCCCCTCACCCAGTCTGTAGAAAAACTTTCACTAAAGCAGTCCCTGGTGCCACAAGTGTTTGGGAGCACTGTCGTGAAGTACAGCAGGGTAACTGTAGTCTACAACAATTTATGACAATCTCCTAAAAAACTAAAACAGGCTGAAGTTTCCCAACACAGAGAAATGGTGAAGGTTTGAGGAGACAGAAATCCTAATCATCCTGAGTTAATCATTACTGAGTAGGTGTATGGGGACTATTATTGTATACTCTACACACACGTGTGAGCCTTATGTATTAATAAAAAGATCCAGACCAACAAAAAGAGAAGTGAAACGAAATGAAGTTCCAAATGTGACACCTAAACTGTGGGACGCTGTCAGTCAGGTGCTCCATTCTTGGGGTGGTCATGGATCATTCTGGTAAAAGGTTATAGAATATCTTCCCTCACACTGATTTGAAAAGATTATTAAATAAGTGGCTTTACTTTTGGGGAATAACGTTTAAAAACTTACTAGGGTTGGTGATTGTCTTCTATTTGGCGCCCCAAAGAAGTCCCTCGCGGTCCCAAGAGGTGCACACGCTGGAGAAGTCAGAGCCCTGGCCGAGGGGGAAGATGTTTTCATGCCAGTAACTGAGGACTACTGCATTCTGCTCAGTTGTTCTCTAAAAAAAATGAATGGAAAACAAATAACTTTTGCTGAGACCAGGGATAATACAGTTGAGGTAAACTTAAACACTTTTACAGTTGTTGAAATCAGCAAAACATTGGCCTTAAGACTTGTTTGTGGGAGGAAGTCCAAAACTAAATGTATTAAGTGTGACACCGTTCAAGATTGTGTCTGCAAGATAACATGAGGTGAAAATGGAGGAAATGAAGCAGTTCTTAAATTTCTGTGTTAAGGAGGATCATGAATACGTTAGATTGTGGCTCTAAATGCAAAGAGAAGTTCACAGACTGACAGAACTCACGACAAGGGGCACCAGTAGCTGAGCGCTTGTCCTAACAGGGAGAAGGCTCTGTCTGAGGGACACTGAGGTACCACAAAGAGACGGGCAAGCCAGCCTCTGCCTGAGATGCATGTCATCGACCCAGTTACCTTCAGGGACACTGTGCATGCATCAAATTCAATTTCTTCTGTCCATAAAATGGCAGCTCAAATTGAGGTACATGTTTTGTGTAGAAAGCTATTTTCTAGGGGCGAGGGAGTGACATAGGGGTAACCACTTTCCTAGCAAACACAAGGCCCAAGCTCCCTTCCCAGCATGACGAAAATAAATAAATAAATAAGAAAATTATTTACATTTGGTATTCAATCCACATTTTACATGTCTTAATTAACACACACATACGATTTATGCTGTCATATATTTTAATGTTCAAAGTCTATTCCTGTTTTTTTTTAACATAAGTTCTTTTATTTTTTTATGTTTTTGAGAAACATTTACCTATTTATGCTTAACTGTGGAATATTTTGGGGTTTTTTTCAAGGAATTTTTAAAAAAATTTTATTTAAGGAGAAAAAAAAACAGAAAAGGGGTACAAGTTATACAGAATTTCAGAAAAAATAAACAGTAGGAAATCACTAGTTAATAGATTACATATTGTCATCTTAGAAATAGTTGTTCAAGTTACAAAATTAAAGCATATAAAGTGGACTTTCAAACAGTGAGACTGGAAACAGTTCTGTTCAGTGACCCAACAAAACTCAGTAATATGGTTATCTATCTTATACACTTAAATATACATGCAGTTATATCCTTTAGAGCACTTTCTTTTGTACAATGACAATTACACATTTTGGGTTTTATTACTCCCACAGTTCTTATTACTTTTTTTGAAGAGAATATAACCAAATGTGACATAACAAAACAGAGTCAGTCAACTCAAAAGGATGGACATAGTACATAATGTAAAAACAGAATACAAAGGTGATCAACAATGGTTACCATAATGCCTCTTGATATCTTAAAAAGAATTGCCTATATCGTCAGTTATAATAAAATTGAACAGAACAGTAAAGAACAAAACCAATAAAACCAAAACATTGGAGATATTACAGGACTTCAAAAGAAGATAATAGTAAACCAGAAGGGGCGTCATAATGAATCTTATTGTCTTCATAGTTGTTGCCTATACTCTTGAACTTGGTAGTATCAAGCAAAACAGAATAGAGGAAAATCAGTCAAAACAAGATGGTGAGAGCAATACAGGGCTTCAAATCAAGTTAATAGGAAATGTGGAATATTTTGACAACAAGTTACAGAGAATAAATAACAACCACTCATTTATCATCCTCCCCCATTTAACAAATGTTACAACACTTAGCCTTAAATACTAAGTATAACAAACATTTAAAACTGCCCAATCCACTGGAAGCCATCACTTTTATGATTTCTAGCCTCACAGAAGATTCTTGCTTGTTGTTTGACTTCTATGACAGAAATTATACATACTGCATTCCAGAGTCTTGCTTAGTTCACTTCAGACAAAATCCCAAGTTCATTTCTATAGTTGTCCACCTGTCATCTGGTCTTACTTTCTATTGAGTCTGTTATATGCACTTACCATTTTGGATACCCATTCTTCTTTGGTGGGAAAGTCCACAGCTTGTTTTATTTTTATTTTAAGACAAGGTCTCACTAAGTTTCTCATGGGACTTGAACTTGAGGTTCTCTTGCCTCAGCCTCCCAAGTGCTAGAATTACAGGTGGCACCACTGTGCTTGTCTTTGTTGCGGGAGAGGGTCTTGTTTTTAAACCAGTACTCTGAGCTAGAACTGGCTCCCTCTCCCTGCCTACACCCGTGGCAGTCTGGGGTAGTCTCGTCCTCTCTAGGCTCCTATTCATGTTCTGGGTCCTCTACTGCAGCTTTCTCAGTTCTCTCCCCTCATGTTTTATGTAGTCCCAGACATCCCAGAGGCCCCAGACAGTGTAGTCCCCCCCGGGTACCAGCTTGCTTTCAAGAGCTGGGGGAAGGGTGGTCTTCTAGGAGGAGGCCAGAGCCCTGCAGGTGGTGGCAGTAGGGAGAGTTTGTGGTTCCCCACCTCCCCTCAGATTCTCTTTGGCCTCTGTTTGCACCAAGTCTTGTGATTAACTCAGGCCCTGTTCCCCACTGTGCCCCTCCTCCCGCCCTCTGAGCCTGAGTCATTATATTAACTACCCTCAGGGAAACAGACCCTCTCAGTTTTGGACTCTACTTCCCCTCAGCGTGCTGCTCTGTGATGGCCTTCAGATATGTGCTCCTCCTCGGCGGTGAGTAGGGTATTTGGGGCTGGGCAGAAGCTTGGCAGGTGCACGGAGTCCCTGGTAGGCCAGGCTGAGGGTGGTGGTCAGCACCTACAGCTCTCAGGAGGAGCTGAAGGCCAGAAAGAGCCCAGTGTACGGGTTTGTTCAGGAGGGGTGGCTCGGAGCCTGGAGGGATGTGGACCCGAACACGGATGAGGGGACAGGGATTCGTGAGCTCTGTACATGCAGAGATGGACAGCCTCTCTGCAGGGCCCCACTGTCTAAGGCCTCCCTTCTCCCACTCACAACAGCCCTTTAAAGTCCTACCCAACATGCTTTTGAGAGAGTAGATCATAAAAGTCACCAGGGAGGGGGAAAAGTTGGGATGCCCCCTCTCTGGGCCTGCATTTCCTCTAAGTCTGCATTTTCAGGTGGGCAGTCCCATTACTACTAAGAGGATGGCCCATAATTTGAAAGCTATGGCAGGAACATATTCACATATCATTTAAAAATCAGATTATACCAATTGTGGTAATGTACACTTGTTATCCTAGGACTCGGGAGGCTGAGGCAGGAGAATCATTGTAAGTTTGAGGCCAGGTTGGGGTACATAGTGAGTTAAAGGCTCGCCTGAACTACATAGCAAGATCTTGTCTCCAAAATAAGAAAGAAAAGTCAGATTTCACTTGGTCAACAAGTGGGCAACTAAAATGGACACTTCTTGGAAGAAGTACAAATGATCAATAAATACACGCATAAATATCCAACATCTCTGGCCGAATGTTAGAGAAATGTAAATGAAGGAGAGGTTTCATCTTACTCCAGAGAGAATGGTTATCCACAAGAAGCCAAGTAATAACAAATGCTGCTGAGGCTGGGGGAAAGGGACCCTTCTACATTGCTTTTTCCCCATCTGCTCATCTTTTATTTTTTATTGGTTCATGTTTGCAGGACATAATGATTATACTCATGGTGAGGATTGTTACATAACCCACCTTAATTCTTTGTATGTCTCCTGCCCCTCCCGTCCCTCACAGCTGCATTTCCCCTAACCCTCTTCTCCTTCTCTCCATCTCATTTTTTTCTATTACCTATTTTTTATTTACAACCATTGTGGAAATCAGTATGGAGAGTCCTCAAAAAACTAAAACTAGAAATTCCAGTTGATGCCTCTATTCTTTTTCTAAGTATTTCCCCCAAAGAGTTAAAGACATCATATTACAGAGATCCAGGTATAGTCATGTTTATAGCAACACAACTCATATAGTTAAATCTTGGAAACAGTCTGTATGACCATCAGGAGAGGAATGGATAAAAAGAATGTGGTATTTATACACAATAGAATGCTATTCTGCCATAAAGAAGGATAAACAAGTGATTTGTAGGAAAATGGAGGCACTTTGAAGCCACAATGTTAAGTGAAATAAATCAGACACACAAGCTTAAACATCAAATGATTTCTCTTATGTGACAAACCCAAAATATAAATAAATAAAAGAAACATTAAGAAAGAATTCTTGCAAAAGGGAAGAGGAAAACTCAAAATATAAGTAAATAAAAGAACCATTAAGATAGAACTCTTGCAAGAGGGGAGAGGATTAAGAAATGGGGAGGGGATGGAGATTAAAAAATAATTAAGATACGTTATGTACATGAACCAACTCCCCACAATGAATGTAATCATTATGTATAGCAAACATGTACTAATAAAAAAGATGGCAGAAAATTTTAAAAGTCAGATAAGAAAGTCAGATTTCATGCAAATACCCAGATTTTCTGTAGAAATGGGAAGGTCTGGCGGATTGGCGATTGATGGTCCCTTTAGGAAGGGTATGAAATCTAAGAGCCCATCATTCCATGGTGCTCACTTCCACCCACTTTACTCACATGGTCACCTGCCTTGTCCCCCGGGCACTGGGGACTGACCCCCTTAATATTCTCCCATTTGTCAGATCATAGGAGCTCTGTTTAGGCTCAGAAACAGAATCAGAAGAGGGAGAATGGTGTAGTATGTGAACTCCCTTGCACACGGCCACAGTAGGGTCCTAGCTCCCTAAATGTCTGACCTCTGTCCAGAACCCCAGTGTTGCTCTATTTCTCTGTCACCAGTTGGCTGGATGCTTAATCCCCTTAGAACTTTCCTATTTGGGGGGCTGGAATTGACCCTTAATCCAGGGATAGCAGGGAATTCTAGAAGAGTGTAGAGGACAGATGGCTGCCCAAGATATGGCGGAGTCAGGAAAAGCCCTTGAAATGTAGAGTCACCCCTGAAGCTTTTGAGATTGGCCACCAGCAAGAGGAGCATGAGCAGCAAAGGATCACGAGGGCAGGATAGAATCTTGACTTGCTGTATCGTGCAGTCAGCCAACAAGGAGTAATTACACAGCCTCTGAGGCTAGTCACTGCTCCAGACACTGAAAAACAGGACAAAGCCCTCCCTTAGAGCCTGGCACCAAGACAGGGGACAGATGAGTACACAGAATCCATCACAGACTTTTAAGTCGGCTCTTCAATTTGGACCTTGGAGTCTCTGTGTCATGAGAAGGCGGAGGAGGACAGTCTTTATCTAGAGTGCCCTGGACCAGTGCCCACTCAAATTTTAGTGATTCCCCTTTTATTCTCAGGCGATTTCAGTTTAAATAATTAATTTCACATTCATTTTATTTTTAAGAACATTCCTGATCTGACATACCAGGTGGCAATTGGTCGAATTTCAGATCCTGAATAGCCTTTGTTTTTTTTTAATTAAAAAAAAGATTAAGATAAAAGAGGACATAACAAAACAGGTCAGAACAGAACAGTTTAAGCAACATAGTGTTTCACCACAAGACAACCCGACATAACGGTAGCTACTATAGTGTCTCTTTCCTTGAAATAATTGACTATACCTTCATACACTATAATATCAAACATAAAAAGACAGTGTAAAACCATTCAAGAGAATGAAAATATTACAGGGTATTCAGAATCAACTAACAGAAAACGAGCAAAGGTTACTATATTATCTCCTTGTCTATAAAATATTTTGTTTATACTATCACATATAATAAAATACAATAAGTACAACATGATAAAACCAATGGAGAAAGAAGAACAAAAGCTTGGTGGGACTTCAAAACCAGATGATATTAAATCTTCACTAGCTATTATAATGTCTTGTTTTCTTCAAAATAGCTGTTCATACCAACACAGACAATAAAATCAGACAACCCAGAATAAAGCCATTCCAATTAATGAATGAAAACATATAAGGCTTCAAAGCAATATAATGGGGAATCACGACCTGCAAGTGTTTGAAATGCCCTCTGATGAGCTGTTTGCCGGAATTGTTGCCCTTTGCATTGGGGTTTGATTATTGGGTGGGTACAAAGGGAGAGAGATGAGAATCACACAGGTGGCAAATCAGGGTGGGAACCAAGGGTAGCATGGGGCTGGGTATCAGGAGAAAAAGGGCTAGAGGAGGCAGGCCTCTCTGATTACCTCCACCTCCACTTCTCTCCATATTTCTCAGCAATAGCTTCTTATCATGGATTCAACTTGGATGTGGAGAACCCCATTATCTTTCAAGAGAATGCAGCCGGCTTTGGGAGGACTGTGGTTCAGTTTGGCGGATCTCGGTAGGCTCCTCCATACTATCTTCTTCCCTATCCTGGTCCTGCTGGCAGGGAGCTGTTGGTGGTGCTAAGGGAGGTGTCTTGGATGAAGGGTAGCCTGGGTGAGACCTCTTCCCATGTTTCTTCTGAGGCTCTGATTCCACCATCTACTCTAATCCTGAGCCCAGAAAAGGCCACGAAACTTTGGTCCACACTCAGCCTTGAGGAGGAGACTTTGACTCTGTCCTGCAGGTGGAGCTTCTTGAGTGACCAGTGATTTTGCACCTTCATTTGTTATACTTGAAGTTTAATGCTCTGCACTTGGGCTCTTGAAATTCTTATTGATTTTATCTTTGCATTTGTGCTTTGCACATAAAGATTGATAGGAAGATAGAGATGTGCTAGGGGTTTGGGATCTCGGTTCACAAGCAACTTGGCTCCTATCAACTTCCTGGGGAGGAATTTCAGCTCCCAGGGACTGCTTCTGTCCTTGTCTCCTGGTGTCTTGTTATTTTTCTCACTGCTGAGGCAAAATACCCAACACCCTCAGTTTAGGGAGAAAAGGTTTGCAGAGGTTTCAGTCCATGGTTGGCGTGGCAGTCAGGCACTGCAGAGGAGAAAGAGTTTAAAGTGGAAAGAAGCAAGTAAGGGGACCTTAGCATCCCTTTTCTGTCCTTTTTATACTCTATCTAGGCTACTGGGATGAGGGTGAGGCCAAATCAACCAGTGGACTGATTTAGTAATCACACATCGTTAATCCCCACATAACACACTCTAGATTCAGTAACCTGTGAAAAGGCCCTGCCTATGATTGCATGAGACTTTGGGGAGACATCTAGACATAAGCCATGACACCTGCATGAATTGCACAAGGCCAGGGTCAAGAGAACTCACTCTGTGAGTATTCTGGAGTGTTACACTAGCAGGCAAAAAACATCAGGATAGAGGAAGGGAGACAGAGAGACTCACATTTTTCTTGTCTCAGATATGGGGACTCGAGGAGTTCAAGTCTCAATGTGATACAGGTATAACCGAAGTATGGAGGCCCAGGAAGGGAGGGGATGAAACCAACGAGAGGAATTCCAGGAGGCTCCACTGAGAAAGTGAGCCAGGAAGACACCCACACTTTCACCTGGCCAAGAAGGAGCTAGAGAGGCCACTGAGGGGGAATTGCATGTACCTCTCCTTTCCTTGACCAGCTAGCTGGTGGGCTGGGGGGATGGAAGCAAGTGCAGGTGTCAGAGTTTTGGTTTTTCTTTGTTTTGCAATGTGACATTCAGACTGAAGTACATGTGTCTGAAGGGTCCAACTCAATGATACTTTTGTATGTGTATATCCATGGTAACTTCCACTTAGATAAGGGTGCAGGTCTGCTCCTGTGTACCTCCTCACCTCCTGGCCACCTGACACCAAACAGATGCAAAGGTAACCACTGTTTCTATTTCCATCACCATCAATTTGCTACTGGGCCACATTTAAAAAAGAAAAGAATGGAAAACATTATTGATTACTGTTTACTAGTATTTGCATCAAAGTAAAATACACAAAGAGTGATCAAAAGTGATGTGTGTTTAAATTTTAAAAGTTATTACAGTCAAAGACACATTGCCATTGACCTCCCTCAAAATATTTTTGTTCACTTTGATCACACTTGTTTCTTCATTCTTGCCATTTTCTGAAGCAATTCGGGAAGTCTTGTTTCAAGAGTGTCTTTACAAGCCATGATCAAAAATATAGCAAATGCTGCTGCCATCCAGTGGAAAGGCAAGCTTGTAAAAACATTATGGTTGTCCTCATCCATCTCATTCATGGAATGTGGCATTGTGATTCTTCCGGCTCTTCCCAAAAGTCAGAGTGACATGTGAGTTAAAGGTTTTGCATCAATTCAGGACATCCAAGCAGCCACAATCTCACAATCAAAGACACTCATAGTTGGTAACATTCTGATCACTGCAAAGTTATTATTTTTCCTGTTTTTGTTGAATCATAATCCAAATACTGAAAAGATTGTGTCTACCAGTAAAGGGTAAGTTGGGTAAAGAAAAAACATCCTGGTGAAGCGTTTGGACTTGTCTAGTATGCCAGTGGGCTCCAAACGATTCTCTCTAGTCATCATTTCAATTTTCATCAGCAAAGTCAGATGTCTCATAGGTCATGATGTGCAGAGCCAGCAACTTCCTGTGCAGGGGCGGCCATCCAGAAGGACCTTTGTGTGTCCACTTAACTAAGCTTGGTGCAGCTACTTAACCCAGCTCAGCATGTCTAGCTTTCTCGTCTGGACAAGGAGGTTGTTGGTGGTAATAAAATGTTTCCAAAATTAGATAGAGCTGCTTTATATTGTTCATCCAATTTAAATTGTTTACATTATATTTAAATTTGTCCAGTTATGTAAACATCGACATTTTGGTTTAAAAGCTTATGGTTTCAGGAATTGTTCCATTTAACTTGAGGTGATTGTTTCTTGGGTGGTTCAAACCAAAAGTGCTTCAGGAACACAATGCACTTACCCATGATTGGGAAATGCCATTGTTAAACGTCTTATACCTTTAATTTAAATTAACAAATATTTATTGACCATCATCTATACAAGGGTCATGACATATATTTTCTCTCTCTCTCTCTCTCTCTATATATATATATATATATATATATATATATATATATGGACATACAAAGCAATCAGTAGTGATTTGTGCTAATTTACAAAGAATTTCAGTCAGGGAGAGCCCTATTTGGGAATTCTCCCACCATTTTTGCTTTTAAATATTTCTTAAGGAGGGGGTAAATGTTTAAAAATGTAAAGCGTGTGTACACCCCAATATACACACATATGTACGCACACCAAAAAGCAAACACATGCAAACCCTAGTTGCGGTCCTTAGGGACAGGCGGGTTAAACTCGGGCTCTGATTTCTGAATAGCTCTTCCAGCAGCAAATGCCAAGAATTTCCCTCACCAAATTTCGCATCGTCATCAGAAGATACTTTCTTGCCCCAAAGTGCTGCGGTTCCTACCCTCACCCTGTTTGACTGTGTGCCATGACTGTGCCTCCAGACTCGTGGTGGGAGCACCCCTCGAGGCAGTCACAGTCGATCAAACCGGACAGTTGTACAGCTGCGGGGCTGCAACCGGCTCGTGCCAGCCCATCTCTGTGCGCAGTGAGTGACCTGACTTGGGTATTGGGACCTTCAACTCTCCTTGCTCGACCTATGTGTGCTCCCTGAAACGTTTCCAGCCCCATTCTCCCCTCGTGAGTGTGACCTGGGGTGTCTGCCCTCTCAGTGCCCCCAGAAGCCGTCAACATGTCCCTGGGCCTGTCCCTGGCAGCCTCTACTAACTGCTCCTGCTTATTGGTGAGTTTCCTGGGACACAGTAGGGGGCTGGAGGACGCCAGCAGGGAGGGAAAGGTAAGGAGGTGCTCTGGGGAGTCCTTGCTTACAGGTCTATACCCCCAGGCCTGTGGCCCAACTGTGCACAGACCTTGTGGGGAGCATATGTACGCAAAAGGCTCCTGCTTCCTGTTGGGCTCCCATCTACAGACCATCCGGACAGTCCCAGTGGCCCTGGCAGGTAGGTCCCTTGGGGACAGAGATTCCCTGGGGAGCACAGGCTGGCACAGAAGAATGAGCAGGGTGTGTTGAGGCCATCTCAGCGCCTGGGCCCAAGTCCTTCTTCTGGAGGTCTGAGCTTGGCTAAGTGGAACCTGTTAATCTGGGAGGAGGATCGGAGGAAGCTCTAGCCTGGGTTGGGGAGGAGCCTCAGCTGGTGAGGGGGAAAGTCCTGATGGGAACAGAGGGAACCTGTGCAGGTACACACACACGTCCTGCATTTCAGAAGAAAGACTGTGATGGGGTATGTATGCAATAAGGACAGTAAGTCCACGGAGAGGAAGTCAGCTGTCCATGGTTTGTGGCTGACTATAGGGTTTCCAGACTAACCTTCCCCTGCGAAGGGGAGCAAAAGGTAGAGCTATGGAGGGTGTGACACACGATTCTGTGTGGGCCAGTATCTTTCAGCAAGAGCAGGGGGTCTGGGGCATCTGTCTGAGAATCAGTCTGCATAATAGTGGTGCCCAGCTTGGAGATTTTTTGTGTGTCATGAGCAATAGCTTCATTTTCTGGGCTGCAGTTTCCTCATTAGTGACATGGGCTTAATCATCATGGTAGTTATAAAGATTCGAGGATCTAATGATTCCCGCTTGGCACATAATATGCCACGCTCTTCTGACTACGCTTCCCGCCATGTGTTTGGACCAGCCGGAAGTACAGATAGCTGGCCTAAGGGGATTCCTGGGGCCACTGGAATGTGGCTGAGAATAATGCTTTAGACACAAGGCACCACGAAGCCAGGTGCAGCAAGCTTTAGCCAGATTTGGAGCAGCAGCAGAAACACTCTCAACCAAAGTGTGAGAGCAGAATGTGTACCGGAGAATAGAATGAATGAGGGGTGGCCGAGGCTCTTGGATGGGCCTGTCTGAGAATCCACAGCAGGTGATGTGACATCTGTGGAACTCAGCAAGCAGGAGGTCTTGTAAAAATGAACGCAGAAGCATAAACCTGGGGCAGGCAAGGCAGGTGCTGATCAGAATGGAAAGGGCTTGGGTCCACTGAGCATAGTGCCAGGAAGTGCTGCGGTCCTGTGGCCATCACCTTACTGCACCCTCACAAGCCCTCTAGGTGGTGAGCAGCATCGCGCTCATTTAATAAATGAGGAAATTTTGATTCACAACAACAAGTTCCTACTGACAGCCAGAGCTGAGAGCCTGAGGCAGCCTCTCCCCACTGCCTTAGTCCTTTTGGAAAGGTGCTCAGCTCCATCCAGGCACCTGTCAGAAGCCCAATGGATACAGCAGGAGGAGATGGTGAGAAATATTGTGGGAAATAGAGGAGGAGGGTGGGATTTCATTATACAGCTGAAAAAGTGGATACAAATGCAAGATGTCAGCTGCTCAGGGGAGCACCTGAGAGCTTTCAGCCTGCCATGCAGATGTCTGGATTTTCTAGTCACTGGGGAAGCAGAAAGGGAAGTGACCTTCTGGGGTGGGGAGGGGAAAGGCCTTTTCTCTTCTCTAGTGGTGAGAGGCGAGGTACTGCAGCTCTGTGGTATGTTCACACCTCAGTGCTGTGGTGGCCTAGTCTCCCAACACCAGAGCAACACAGGATGTGGGTGCTGGTGGTGGCACCAGCTGGGTCTTGCATACTGGTCAGCAGTCCCTGCATGAGTGTGGGCTAGTCTACAGTGGTTCACTTTTCTGTTACTGTGGTGTGTCTTTCCCGTGATAGTGTGATCTCACAGATGGTATCTTTTTTAAAGCTATGGGTTTAAAGTCAGATATCCCCAGAAAGAGATGCTGAGGTTCATTTGGGAATGTTCTCGGGAGCAATATCAATCAGAACATGATGAAGCGGGCCTGGGCCAGGACGAGATGAACAGTGGTGCAATTCTAGCAGAGGCCTTAGCAGACCCTGGGGAGATTGATACCAGGGATAGGAGGGTGGAACCTTAGGAGAACAGCTCCCTTCTGCCTAGTGTAAGTCCCATAAAGGGACTTGGCAGAAAGCCACTGGCAGCCAGCTCCACATAGGTGGGAATGAATGCCTCAGCTTTGAAAGGGGCCGTCTGTTGGCATTCACTGTAAGTGTATCCTGCAGGTCCAGAAAATGCCCAGCATGTGGTGATGATGGTGATAACAGTTAATGCTTATGATGGGCTGGGCCCTGGCTTAAGCACCTTTTATCATATTATTTAGTTTTATCCTTTAATAATCCATTATATTAGGTACAATTCTTATCCTCATTTTACAGATGGGAAATTAAAGCCCAGAGAAACCAAGCAACTTGCTTGAATTCACCAACTTGAGTTAACTGGCTGATCTGGGCTTCCAGGTCAGGCACTCTGGCTCTGGAATGTGTACTCTGAACCATTTACTAAACTGCCTCTCTGTGTGCTCTGTAGCATCACCAGTGTATGTGTTTCCTAAGGATTTGTTCCTAAGGATGACTGTGTAGCCCACCTGGCCCTGTGCTCGGCTTCTTCTTTCATTCTTCCCAGGCCATGTGGGAGGAGGAGAACAGCCTGGACTCTGCTGAAGGCGGATCTCTTCTGGATCTGGATCTCTTCTGTGGGTGGGAAGGCCAAGACTGGCCCTGTGACTACTGAGCAGGAAGGGGTTCAGCCATCTCCAGGGCCCTTCATTTGGATCTCTGACTTCTCTCTGCCTACAGAGTGTCCAAATAAAGAGATGGACATTGCCTTTCTGATTGATGGCTCTGGCAGCATTGATCAAAGTGACTTTAACCAGATGAAGGGTTTTGTCAAAGCTGTGATGGACCAGTTCAAGGACACCAACACCTTGGTGAATGCTGGGCACTGAGGTCTGGGGAGGGGAACTAGGGTCCGGGATCAAGATCCCAGGCAGGGCCAATCTGAGCCCTGACTTAGGAGGTTCCTCCCTCCACCTGGCACATTCTATTTAAAATACTGAAAATATTTTAAAATAATGTTAGAGATTGGGATATAGCTCAATGGTAGAATACTTGCCTGGCATTTCAAGGCTGTAAGTTCAATCACCTGTATATAGATATAGATACAGATACAGATACAGATACAGATACAGATACAGATACAGATACAGATACAGACACAGATACAGATAGGGATATAGATACAGATACAGATACAGATACAGATAGATACAGATACAGACACAGATACAGATAGAGATATAGATACAGATACAGATAGATACAGATACAGATACAGATACAGATACAGATACAGATACAGATATAGATATAGATATAGATATAGATATAGATATAGATATTTCCCCTCCAAAATCAGAAGTTCATTAAAAGATATAACTACCTTAACACATCCTGAGTGCTGGGACTTCCTCTTTGGTCTTTGCAGTTCTCCCTGATGCAGTATTCAAACATCCTGAAGATTCACTTCACCTTCACCCAATTCCAGAGCAACCCAAGCCCTCAGAGCCTGGTGAAGCCCATCGTACAACTGAAAGGCCTGACATTCACAGCCACAGGCATCTTGGAAGTGGTGTAAGTTCCCCTTCTTGCTGACCCTCGGAGGTGGCTGCCACCCCACTTCCTAATACTGAGTCAGTGAAGCTCTTCTGAGAGGATGTGGGGGCCTCTGGAGAAAGGGGCTGAAGTGGGATGTGGAGGCTGCAGGTAGTTTTCTCTGGAATGCTCCTGGCCTCTCAGTGCTAGCTTTCCCTGGTGCGGGAGTAGACTCCTCTGTGGCTGTATTTCCTCTTTGCTTGGATCTGGAAAGGCAGGACCTTAGTAGCCTCCAGGGCCAGCCAAAGGCCTGGGCTTTGTTGGATTCAGACACATCTCAGTTCCTATCCTTGTTCCCTGCTGGTTACTTGAGTAATCCTGGGAGTTACTGATTTTACTCTACTTCTCAGTAAACTTTCAGAGGAGAATAAGCCCACAAGTTAAATGAGCTCCCAATTGTGAGGTGCTCTGTCCTGGACATACAGGAGGTGCTAGATACATGACCAAGGGTTTAATTCAAAGAATGGCACAGCCCTTCTGCTTCCTGAGCAGAGACTCAGGAATTATTATCAAACGTCTTCTTTGTGCATCTCTTACCACGCACCAGTCCCCATCCTGTCCTTTCTAAACCCATGCAGAAAGTGGCTTCAGCCATGGGGTTAGAAAGAAGATGTGGAGCTGGGCTGAGTGTTGGGATCCTTGGCTTCCTGCACTCTCCTGGGAGCTGGGACTGACATGTGGTGGGATCATTCCACATAAGAGATGCTCTGAGGCAATGCACCCCCTTTACTTTGGGGTGCTTTTCTTCTTCAAACACTAGCCTCTTGGAACTGGACAGCCAGAAGGCAAATCTGTGTCCTGGGAGTTCAAAGTCACACAGGTGCATCCTCCTTTTCTTACCCTGTAAAGTTCTCCCAGTGCTGGGTTCTGGAGGGAGAAGTAGGTGAGGCAGGGGCAATAGTGTATTTTTCATAAACTCTTACCCTTATACGGGGCATCCATCCCTCATCCCAGAATGCACTGTGTCTCCCAGCAGCCTCCCTGCTCCCCAGAGTCGAGCCAATCTTAGAATTAGACTTGGTCACAGACTTTTCTTTCCCTGATCCTTTCTTATTTTTTGAAAGAAGCTTCATTATAAAAAAGACAAAATTTTGATAGCATTAAGGAAACTTTTTTCCTAAAAAGTATTACAGTCCTTCTAGATGACTGCCTTACAGTATTTTAGCAACAAGAAAGGACACGAAATGAATCAATGAATCCCACCACCTGGCATAGCACAGTTTCTGTCCTTGCTTTTATTCATTTATTCTGAATTCTCACAATCAGGTCAGGAACTATTTTTTAAAAATCTAGTCATATAACTGGTTCCATATTTTGCCATGATTTTCATTGTCTCTGTACTTTTCAAAAAAGATGTAGGTCAAGATTTGCCAATCCATTCCCTGATGGTTGTTTTCAGCATTTGCTCAGCACACGTGTGTATATGTGTGGTCTGAGTTTACAGAGCTATGTGAGCACATATAGTGACAGGTTAACTGTTTCTGCTCTTGTCTAATTAATGCTCCCCTGTAGGCCAGTCACTAGTGTAAGTGCTTGACCTCAGTTAATCCTCCAAATAACCTGAGACTATTTGTTTCTGTTATCTATGGTTGCTTAAATTAAGTTATTGCCAAATTAAGTGGCTTCAGTAATTTAAGAAGCAGCTCTTCTTATTTTTCACAATCCCAGTATGAGGAATTCCGTTATTTTTGCATAGTCTCTCATGGGGCTGTGGTCAGAGATCTGAGGCCAGAATACTGAGAGCTTTGCTCAGATGGCTGATGGCCAGGAAGCACGGGCTGGACGCCTGGGCGTGTCTCTTCACATGGTCTCTTGTGGCCACTGCATTGGTACCTCCAACAAAGAAACCAGATTCCTCTCACTGTGGCTCAAGACTTCCAAAAGTGCAAAAGCAAAAGACACTGGGGCTTTTTAGGCTCACAACTGGCATGATATCACTTTCACTGCATGCATCTTATAAAAGTGAGTCATAGAACAGGGCAGGTTTATTATGGGAGGACAATCATCTGAGGTTCATTGGGAGCCATTATTTTAGAGATTAGTTATGGCACAATTACTATCTGTATCTTGCATAGAAGGAATCAAAGGCTCAGAGAGGCTAAGCACATTACTCCAAGTCTGCCTAACTCCAGAGCTTCTGCTTTGAACCTCCTACGAATGACATTTAGTTGTAGACAGAATAATTGGTAAAAATGAGTTCCTTTATTGTTGTCTTACTAATTATTGTCAATATGAGCTTCAAAAAAAGCTGAATGGTACTATCAATGTGCTTGATAGAATCTGGCATGTCCTGGTATCAAGATTTCCCAAGTTCTCAGATGAGCTGCCAGGGCAGCAAATGATGTTACTTCAGAATCGATCGTATCTCAGTAGAGTTGTTTTCCATTATCCCTCAACAGGAAAGAGCTATTTCATAGCAAGAATGGGGCCCGCAACAGTGCCAAGAAAATACTCATTGTTATCACAGATGGGCAGAAGTACAAAGACCCCCTGAAATACAGTGACGTCATCCCCCAGGCAGAGAAAGCTGGGGTTATCCGCTACGCCATCGGGGTAGGATCTTGTTTTCTTTGCTTCCCTAGACTCGGCCTGCACGTCAGCCAGGTGAAGGGCTGCTAGGTTTCCCTCTCCCAGCTGCCTTTGTGCTGTAGGTGGGAGATGCTTTCCAGGAGCCAGCTGCCAGGCAGGAGCTGAACATGATTGGCTCAAAGCCCTCAAAGAACTATGTGTTCAAGGTGGACAACTTTGCAGCCCTCGGCAGCATCCAGAGAGAGCTGCAGAAGAAGATCTTTGAAGTCGAAGGTACATAGCATCAAGTTTGGTCCTTGGAATTGAAGGAGTCCCTACCCTACCCATTCACCTCCTAAAATCTTGATGGCCCATCCCAACTCACCCCAAACTGCTCCCAAGAACTGAGCCCCAGCTTGATTCTCCTCTTTTTTTTTTTTTTTCGGAGTCTTTGGGATCTCACAGCTTTGGAGACCCTAAGTGACCTGTTTCCCCACAGGAACCCAATCAAAGACAAGCAGCTCCTTTCAGCTTGAGATGTCGCAGGAAGGCTTCAGTGCAGTGCTCACAACGGTGGGTGGATAAATAGGTCTCAGGTATCAGTTCGGGGCCAGTTCTGGACTGACAGCTGAGATTTAGAAGTCAGCAAGCAGCAACTGCAGTCCTAAGTTCACTGCCTGAATGAGGCGAGGTATCAGGCAGTGCAGTGGTGTTGGGATGCCCAGCAGAGGAGAGGCTGGCTGAAGTTCCAGCTCTTGTGGAATGCGTATTGGAGAGAGCAGAGATCACAAACAGAAGACTTTGGGCTGTACTAAGTGCCGAGGTAGAGAAAAAAGACGGTCAGCAAAAAAGCATTGGTGAGACAGGGCCAACCCTGGAGAAGTCTGGGGAAACATTGCTGTAGGTAGAGAGAAAAGCAGGTGCAAAGGCTGAGGAGGTAGAAGCAAAGTTTCCCTCTGAGAGAGATGGAAAGGCCAGCCTCTAGGGCTGGTGCTTCCTGGTCCCCAGCTGAGCAAAGTTTTGTGTCCTGCCTCAGATCCCTGACCACAGCCCCACGAGAAACTGTGCAAGCACAGTGCATAGCGGAATGGGCCTGGGACAGTAGGAAAGGAGGGGGCTGGAGCGGTGGGAAGGACCAGATCACATGGCCAGAGAGGTGACAGTGCCAGGAGGCTTTCTGAAAGTAGACGGATGTTTGAAGTATCCTGACGGATTTGTTTCAAAATAATTGGGCTGAAAAAAAAATAATTGAGTTGAGTGGGGAGTGGTAGAAATGAAAGTTACTGAATTGATCACTAAAGCCAGACATTTCTTTCTACTTTTGTATTTGTTCTAAATTCTCCATAGTGAAAAGTTTTAAAAGGCAACAAAGTATACAGAGGAGAAAATAAGTATTATTTCCTGAGGGCGCTGAGGAAGGCCTCTAAGATTTTAAGGTTGATTCTTCCAGAAAGAGGTGCTAAGAGAGGGGACGAGAGATGAGCAGGAAAAGGTGTGGTGGGTAACAGGTCGGATCGGGATGGTCCCTGTGCCACCTGGGGGCCGTGGGGATGGTTTCCTGCATGCCAAGGGGTTTGGGGGAAACAGATGCTGGGAGGGACCGGCAGAGCCGACAGGAGCAGGACAGGAGCAGAAAGGCAATGGGGAGGCGCTGGGGCAGATGGGCACAACGGCAGTGGCGGTGGTCTAAGAGACACTGGGGGCTGCACACAGAGCCTACTGGTGAGGAGTTCGGGGAAAGAAAAGAAAAATCAAAGTGATAATAAGAGTTGGGGCTGGGGATTTAGCTCAGCGGCATAAGCGCCTGCCTTGCAAGCAGGCAGTCGTGAGTTCAATCCCCGGTACCGATAAAAAGGAAAAAGACCAAAAGAAAAAAAAAAAAAAAAAAGAGTTGGGGTGGGTATTTCTGTGGGTCAGACTGTCTTCTTGCTCCAACCTGCTCAGCCTTGAAATTGTTTCCTCTCAGGATGGACCAGTTCTGGGGGCTGTGGGAAGCTTCGACTGGTCTGGAGGTGCCTTCCTGTATCCCCCAAATGGGAGTCCCACATTCATCAACATGTCTCAGGCGCATGTGGACATGAGGGACTCTTACCTGGGTGAGAGAAGGTGGGGGGATGATGGGACCAGCGAGAGGCGCATTGCTGGAGGAGGAAGCCTTGGTGCTGAGGCTCCCACCCTAACCCCAAGGTTACGCCACTGAACTGGCCCTTTGGAAGGGGGTGCAGAGCCTGGTCCTGGGGGCCCCTCGCCATCAGCACATCGGGAAGGTTATCATCTTCATCCATGCAACCAGGCAGTGGAGGCCACAAGCTGAGGTCACAGGGACCCAGGTTGGTATGGAGAGAGCCAGAGTGGACCGTGAGGGTGGGCTGGGTAGTCCATGGACAGAGAAGGAAAAGGTGAGGGGACTTTCAGGCCGTGGGGCAGGTTCTGGTGGTCTGGGATAGTAGACTGGTGCCTCTGACAGGGGCAGGCAGGATGACATGTGGCTCTGTGTTCAGATTGGCTCCTACTTTGGGGCCTCCCTCTGCTCTGTGGATGTGGACAGAGATGGCAGCACTGACCTGGTCCTCATTGGGGCCCCTCATTACTATGAGCCAACCCAAGGAGGCCAGGTGTCCGTGTGTCCCCTGCCCAAGGGGGTGAGTGCTGATGGGACCTGGGTTGGGGGGCATCTGCCTCGGGGAGCAGGGTTGCCTGGATGGGGCATGGCACTATTTTTATTCTTTAGCAAGACAGGTGGAGGTGCGATGCTCTTCTCCAAGGTGAGCAGGGCCATCCCTGGGGCCGCTTTGGGGCAGCCCTGACAGTGCTGGGGGATGTGAACGGGGACAAGCTGACAGACGTGGCCGTCGGGGCCCCTGGAGAGGAAGAGAACCAGGGTGCTGTCTACGTGTTTCATGGAGTCTCAAGATGGGGCATCAGCCGGTTCCACAGCCAGGTGAGGCCCCCGTGTTCAGCCGGTTTAGTTCCTCCCCCTGTGTCTTAGGTTCACTGGATGTAGCTTCTTGTCACACTGGCTTTAGAAATTTTCTTTGCCTTCCTTTTTCTTTGAGTAGTTTCTTACCTCAAATTCCACCACACGTAGTGAAGCACCAATCATCTCTTTTCTTTGCTTCCAAACAACTTCAGTCTGTTGTGGACAGCTTGATGGTTAAGAGATCAGGCTTTAAGAACAGAACTCAGATCAAATGTTGGGTCTCCCCAGCATCCGTTAGCAGTGTGGCCTTAGGCAAGTTACCGACTTAGCCTCTGAGTTTTAGTTTCTATGAGACATGAGGAAAGTTGGATCAAACCAACTCCCCAAACAAAGCCAAAAGACAGCTCCATTGGCTTCTTGCAAGGATAACTAGTGAGTATACTAAGTACTCTGTTCATCAAAGATTTAAGAATTTTAAAAAAGATTTATGAATGAACACAATAGGTGATGAATAAATGAATCTGTTATATTCCTATTGTTATGCTTTTACTTCCTGATGAAGAGTTAAAGAGCTCCTTTCTCTCTGTCATGGGTTCCCAGAGGTCCCTGCACTATTTACTTTCAACCCCTGCCTTTTCTTCTCTCCCTTTACATTTCTCTGTTCAGATCTACCTCATTGCATGCAATCAGCTCTTCTTGACTTCCACTTTTCCTGTTCTCTTCTGGCCAGCGGATCACAGGCTCCCAGCTCTCCTCAAGGCTCCGGTATTTTGGGCAGTCCCTGAGCGGGGGCCAGGACCTCACCCAGGATGGACTAGTGGACCTGGATGTCGGGGCCCAGGGCCAGGTGCTGTTGCTCAGGTGACAAATTCCTCACCTCCTACCCTTGCCTGCTGTGTGTTGTTTCCTCCCCGGGGGGAGTGTCTGATTCTCTGCCTCTGTCCATCCCTCTCAGGAGTCTGCCGGTGCTGAAAGTGGGAGTAACCATGAGCTTCAGCCCTATGGAGGTACCAAAAGCTGTGTACCAGTGCTGGGAAGAGGTGCCCACCACTCTGGAAGTTGGGGAGGCCACAGTCTGTCTCATTCTTCATAAAGACTCACTTGACCAGTTAGGTGAGTTTCTTCTCTAAAGATGGGCCGAGTCTCTGACTCAGGAGAGGCTCCCGAGGCTGTCTTCAGGCAGGAATTGACCAGGAATACAAATCTTACCTCCACTTCCATCAGCTGCTTGTATCAGAAGCCTGGGCCTTTTCTCTCCCCTTCTCCCTGCAGCCCGGCCTGCAGGCTGTCCCCAGAGTGTACCCTGCCCCTGCTCTCTCTCAGCCGCCCATGTCTATTCTCACACTTTTCAACCCATTTTCACAGAGGAACTAGACTTGATCGATCTAAAATGCAAGTCTTGGCTCCTCATCACCACTCCTAAGCTCCCCTAAACTGCTCCCCTGCACATTTACAGAGACACAATCCTTCCCCACAACGCTTTTTCTGATTTGGCCCTTCATTCTCTCCTCAATGCATCCCTACTTCTTCTGTCCGCTTTCTGTAAGTGTGACAGCCTTGCTCTGCCTTGGGGTCTTAACCCTGTTCCCACTGTCTGGGACGTTCTCCCTCTTTACCGTCCAGGCCAGAGTTTAGACATGGCCAAGCTTCCACGGCCTTAGGACAGCTTCCTTGGCCAAATCGGAGTTAGTGTGCTTCCTTTTGTGCCAACAGAAGATTCCACCCTTGTATTGCTCACACTATGACATTATGGCCAAGTGCTTGGCTCCTTTCCAAGCACTTGAGCTTCCCAAGGGCAGGAGCCACATCTACCTTCTCTATCTCTATCCCCAGCACTTGGCACAGTTAGTGACCTACAGAAAGTGCTCAGCAAATGTTTACTGCTGAACACAGAACACTGCAGGCTCCTTTTGCCTGTCCCTTTTCTGCTCCCTACTTCCGCTTCAGGTGATTTCCAGAGTTCTGTTAGTTATGATCTGACCTTGGACCCTGGCCGCCAGATTTCTCGCGCTGTTTTTGATGAGACCAAGAACTGGACTTTGACTCGAAGGAAAACCCTGGGGCTTGGGGATCACTGTGGAACTGTGAAGCTGCTTTTGCCAGTGAGGACTTCGGGGCTTGGAAAGGGGGAAGGGAGGAGCAGCCCACAGCTGGCTTGAAGGATCCCATCTACTTGCTGTCAGGGGGGAAGGGTGGGGAGTCGGGTTGGAGAGGGGATGGTTGAGCTGGCTCCGTGGTTTGGATGGCTGCTGTCTGGGTGCAGAAAAAGGGAAGGCTCAGTGGTGAGAAGGGAGGAGAATGATAGTGGATTTTGATGTCCTTTCTCCTTCAGGACTGCATAGAGGATGTGGTGAATCCCATCATCCTGCGACTCAACTTCTCCTTGGCAGGAGACCCCATTTTAACCCAGAACCTTCGCCCTGTGCTGGCTATGGGTTCACAAGACTTCTTTACTGCTTCTGTGAGTTTCCAGATGAAATCCCAGGGATGCAGGGGCTTCCATTATGTTTCTATGTGCTTAAGAACCCATTGATTGTCTACCAACCACACCAAACTCAAAACACCTCTGCCCAGTCATGAAAGTCCTGCCCAGCTTGGACCTCTGAGCACACCCCAGCAGGTTATATCCATATTACCCTGCCGTAGTCTCCAGTCCATTTTCTGCAGATCATCCCAGCTTTTCTCATTCCTACTTCTGGGCCTCCATTGTGTTTCCCATCTGAAAAACCATTCCTCCTTCTCTCCATCTGAAGGCTCTTTTGTAGTCTCCCAATGCCAACCTCTTCTGCCTCTGTTTGAAAACCACGCATAACAGTTCCCGTTTCTCTGTCTCCCACTTACACCGCGATCATAACACCCCCCAAATTTCACGATAGTCTGGTGTGTTGGAGGTTGTAGGTTCCTTGAACATAGAAACTATATCTAATTCTCCTGTAGTTCCCATTTTCCCCAAACTGCCACCTAATCCAAAATCTGTCCCATTGCTGCCACTTAATAATAATTACTGAATAATTGTTCCAGATTTGACTCAATCAAACTTTTTCTTCTGGAAGCAAAGATCTTATCATATCCTCCTTTAAATTCCAGCCTCTAAAGCCTATCTGACTCCTTGCCACTGTCTAGTAGAGTGTGGAAGCTTGGTTATAGGGCATAGTGCTTCAAGTGAGAGGGGACCAGAGGAAATTTACAGGTGGGGAGATAAGCGAATTTGCTGTTTTACTGCAGCTTCCATTTGAGAAAAACTGTGGACAAGACCAGCTCTGTGAAGGGGACCTGAGTGTCAGCTTCAACTTCTCGGGGTGAGCCCTGTTTCCTTTCCTATCTGAACTCTCCAGCTTCTGTGTCTCCCATCCCCATAGGATGAGAAGTCTTTGTGCTTTCCTTTAGCTGTCTTTTTTTTTAAACAAATGATCTTGACTGAAATAATGACTTGTGAGTTTCCATAAGCCTTCTCCTGCTCCTGATCCACTTCCAGTCCATCCCAGTTGAGTCACAATCCAAGTTTTGTCCTTCCCTCTTCAGTCTGCATACCCTGATGGTGGGGAGTACCATGGAACTCCATGTGACAGTGACTGTGTGGAATGAGGGTGAAGATTCCTATGGAACTGTGGTCAACTTCTATTATCCAGCAGGACTCTCCTACCGACGGGTATCAGGGATACAGGTAACTAGTTTCTTGGACTCTGGTTGGCTGCTCTCTTGTATTAGTCAGTTTTCTGTTGCCAGTAACAAGCCACCACAGACTGGTTGAGTTACAAACAAAGAAGGTTTATTTTACTTCACTATTCTGGAGACCACATCTAGTGGTAGCATTCTTGCAGGCAGTGTGGTACTTGGCATCACCTATGTGTTGGTCTAGTCTCTCTCCCACTTCCTATAAAGGTACTAGAATTCAATTGTGAGGCAATGACCTTATCTAATCCTAAGTACTTTTCAAGTTCCCACTCCTAAACCACCACTAAACACCACCACCAGATTTAGTTTCTTCCCTGTCACATAGAGACTAAATTTCCCAACAAAGATTAAATTTCAATGCAGGAAGCCTTGTTGTACACTCAAATTATATCTAAACCAGTGCAGACCTCTCCATTCTATAACTTCTAGGGTTATAGTGGGCTCTTTTTTCCTTCTTTTCTTTATGATCTCATACATTCAGAGTATATTAAATCTGTGAAGAGTTCAATGAATAATATTAAATAAACATTCATACAGTTACATATAACTGCTAGCATTGCCCAAAGTCCCTCCTCACCAAGCACCTCCCCCATCACAATCCAACCCTTCCCCAGAGGGAATCAGTACCCCAGTCCTGTGGTAATCATTTCCTTGTATTTCCTCATAGTTTTACCATCCACGCTGCATCCATAGATCATGCTGTCCGGTTTTGCTGATTTGTCAAATTTGCATGAATAGAAGCATGTTGTATTTTCATTTGTGTAACTTCTGTCTTTCTTTTAATGTTATATATGTGGGATATATCCATGCTGTTGTGCGTGGTTGTAGAGCACTTTCATTGTCATATAGAATCCCTTTGTATGAATGTAACACAATTTATTTATCTATTCTAAAATTGATGGATATTTGAGTTATTTCCTGATTTTGGCCATGATTGTTCTGGGGTATGCACTCTGGTGCATCTAAGTATATTTTAGAACATATATATTACACATGGAATTGCCGAGTCACTGGATATGTATATCTTCAATTTTAACAAGTAAAATCAAACCACTTTTAAAACTATTTCCCCGTTTACAATATATGAGAGTTCCTGTGACTTTCTGTCTACTTCAACACTTGGCATTGTCAGGTTTAAAAAAAATTTTTTTTTAGTAGTACATAATGAATAACAATCCTTGTGAGGAGTTGGTGCATGTATATAATATGTCTTAATAATTTTTAATTCTCTTCCTTTCCCTTTCCTCCATAGCATGACCCACTTCCTAAATGGAAACATCTTTCTATTTCCTACTATCTATGTTTTAATTCGCTCTTTATTTATATTTTGGGTTTTTTATATAAGAGAAACTATGACATTCTCTTGTCAGATTTTTTAGTTTTTGTAACTCTAGTGAGTAATAGTATTTCCCTACAATTTCAATTTATATTATTCTAATGGCTAAGGCTGAGCAAATGTACACATATTCCCTGGTCATTTAGATTGTTTTCTTTTGAGCCTGTTCACATTTTTTTTCTGCTGTTCAATTGAGTTGGTTATATTTTTTCTTATTGTTTTGTAAGAATTCTTCATATATTCTGGTTACTTATGTTCCAGTTATACGTGTTCAAATATCTCTCACCTTGCTTATCTTTTCAGTTGCCTTATAACGCTTTTCAATAAGCTGAATGTCTTTTTTATTGTGGTTGATTTTATCACCTTTTCCTTTATACTTAAATGTTTTTGTGTGTACCTTGTTTAAGAACTACTTCCCTTCCTAAGTTTATAAAATGGTTGTCTTTATTGTCTTCTGAAAGCTTTATAATTTTTGTTTTTTCACATTTAAGTCCTTAATCCAGCTGGAATTTATTTTAATGTATGGGATGAGGTAGGGATCCAACCCCCTTCCCTCCACCACGTACTGTATGGGTCAAAGTTCCCAGCATCTTTTATTGAAAAATCTGTCCTTTCCCCTGTGTGTTCTGCAATGCTATCACTGTTATATCTCAAGTCAATATATGCCTGTAGGTAACTTTCTAAAACTTATTTTCTCTCTCCCTAGAAACAGCCGCATCAGGGCTCATTACACGTGGCATGTGAGGCAGAGTCCCCTGAGAACGAGGGCCTGAAGAGCAGCAGCTGTAGTATCAACCACCCCATCTTCTGGGAGGGCACTAGGGTCAGTGCTTCTCCACAGGTCTTCACCTTTGTCCCGCTGCAGTCTCTTCCCTCACTCCACCAGCACCTTCCCTATCTGATCCTTTTCCACCCCGCTTCATTCTCCTTTAGAGCACCTTCACGGTCACATTTGATGTCTCCTACGTGACTACCCTGGGAAACAGGTTGCTCGTGAGAGCCAATGCAAGCAGGTGAGCCCAGCCTAGCTAGGGTGTGTCCCTCGTCCTCCAGTGTCATGGTATGGCTGAAGAAGACTCCTTTCCTAAATCCCCCCTGAACTGTGTTCCTTTTACTTTCTCCAGTGAGAACAATAAGCCGGCAACCAACAAGACCACCTTCCAGCTGGGGCTTCCAGTGAAATACATAGTGTACACAGTGATCAGCAGGTGCCTGGCCCTGGGTCCTTCCTTGGTCCTCTCACCTTCTTCCAGGTCCTGTACTTCCTGCTGCAACTCAGCTTGTTCTTTTGATGATAGGCATCTGTATCAGTCTGTTTTACTATAACTGACTGCCTGAGGTAAGGTACTTATAAAGAAAAGAGGTTTATTTAGCTCACAGCTTTGGAGGCTAACAGTCCAGGTCTGGTGAGCCCCTTGTCTACATCAGCTGATGGCAGGTGGTACCTCAATGACTGGAAGGTGTGCCAGAGGGTGAGATTCCATGGTGAGACATGAAAGCCGAGCAAGGGAGTGAGGCCAGCCTTGTAATCACTCACTAGCTCCCACCTCTGAAAGATCCCATCATCTCCCAGCATTGCCATACTGAGGGCCAGATTCCCAAGACATGAACTCTTGGGGATAAACTAAAACTGTATTCCAACTGTAGAGCAACTAAGCTATCCCCTTTGTTTCCTCCCATGGGGATGCTTGCATGGGTGGCCAGCCCTACATGTGTACCATAACAGAAAGGCCCACAGAATTCTTTCTTCTTCTCTGAACAGCTCTGCAGTTCATACACACCGTGTCCTCTTCCTCCAAAATCTAGGCTTCCTTTAACATCGTGCCAGTTCTTCCCTACGGGCTAAATGTGAATGTACTGAAGTGAAGCTACTAGGTTAAAATCAGGCTTTTTTGAGCACTCTGAATTGGGAGGCGTGTGCTCAGCAGGGTATGGCCAGTCACCACACACAGGAAAGGGAAGGTCAGGGTTCTATAAAACTCAAAAGTAAAGGTCGGGTTTCTAAAACACTCAGAGGAGAGAATAAGTGTAAGAAGTTGTTGGGCAAGTCTCTAAAAGCTGAAGGTCAAGGCAGACCACAGGGGAGGCGAGTGTGAGCTGTAGCCGTAGACTCTGAAAATGGAAGAGCAGCAGGCACAGCCGGGCTGGAAGTGCACACACTGGACTCCGCTGCTGAGCTTGCAAAGATGCTCACATGCTTGTAATTACCCGGAGTGGTTTTCTGTTGTTGCTGCTGAACTTACAAGGCAACCAGGGACAGGGAATCAAATAGTGCCACTGTCCACTTAGAACGATGATAAGACCCTGGGACAATGTGTGCATTTCTCTTCTAGCCACAGGAAAATACTTACAATAAGACCTTACATTTGCAAATACTTCCATGTCACACATTTTTTGCTCATGTGGGTTTTTTGCATGAAGTATTTTCCATATCTTTACATTCATTTAATTCTCCCAATAATTATATTGTTATCTTCATGGTTACCAAGCAAAAAGTCAAGAACTTAAATAACTTGCTCCTGTCATTTTCCCAGTAAGTCACAATTCATATGCCCTACAAAGACCCTTTGAGGGACAGAGTTCCTCTGTTGTGGCCCCCAGAGGCAGTGTAGTTAGTCTGGTTTCTCTGTGCTGGGTACTAGTGAAAATGCAGGTCCTCCTTGTCTGATTGAGTCTGCAAGCTTTAGACATTAAACTTTGAGAAGCAGGAATTATAGCTTAACTGTTAAATCTCCAAGACCTGGTATATGGCAAATATTTATTGAAAGAAGCCATGAATGGATGATGAATGGGTGAGTAGATGGATATATAAGCTCCTGTAGCCTGAAACACTCTGTCCCCTCTGTGGGCCTAAGTCCATGTACCATCTTCCTTCGTGTTCACTTACCTGCCCCAATTACTACATTTTCTTCATTGCCTTTACTAAGGAGTTCTTACTCCACTGTTTCCTCAGTAAGGGGGTGGCTGTCACTCCCTGGGCTTCTCCTAGGCCTATTTGTTCTGGCAACAGCCTCTGCAAGAATTACCTCAGTCCAGCCATGAATCTACTAAAGAAAGCGATGCGAATACCTTCCCCCCTTAATGTGTAAACATTATGAGGGGTGATGGTGTTTAAACTGGACCTTTAAGTAAAAATTTCCAGAAGGAGAGTGAGTAAGAACAAGGCAAGCAGGAGAAATAGCTTGGGCAAAGTCAGGGGTGTATGAAAGCGCCAGGAGGATTCAGGGGAGCGCTGGTACTTCGGCTGACTGAGGTGAAAGACATGCAGGGAGAGGAACCCGAGGCTAATGCAGACACTGGAGAGGTATGCGGGGACCAAAGTTACCTCCTGGATCTTGGGCCCAGGGAAGCTCTCTGCAGCAGCCTAGGGCACAGCTGGGGATAGTCTCAAGGTTGCTCTGCACTAACAGGCTCCCTCTTTCCAGGCAGGAAGAATCCACTAAGTACTTCAACTTTTCAACTTCTGATAAGAAGAGCAAGAAAGAGGCCGAACACCGATATCATGTGAGAAGCCAGGGCGTGTTCATGTCTGTCCTTCTGGGGTCTGGATAAAGTTGGAAACTGGTAGAAAAAGGTGCAGAAGACCTGGAAAGAAGTGGGACTGGGACTACAATAATGCTTGGCTTCAATTTTCTGCAGGTGAACAACCTGAGTCAGCGAGATCTAGCCATCAGTATCAATTTCTGGGTTCCCATCTTGCTGAACGGCATGACTGTGTGGGACGTGACTCTGAGGGCCCCTTCACAGGTGCCTGCCTGTCTTTCCTCTGTCCGCAGGCTCTGATCCCACAGTACCACACACACTCTTTTTCAGGGAAATATGATCTTCATGTGACTAAGTACTTCTCTCTCTCATTAGAGTCTCTCCTGTGTGTCAGAAAGGGAACCGCCCCAGCATTCTGACTTCCTGGCCCAGATTCCAAGGAGTTCTGTGGTGGTGAGAAAGGCCCTGAACCCCCAAAATAGGATCATTCCATATTGGGGGATACAGGAAAATATGTTGCTAGACTATAGTCATGCGGTATTCTGTACTTGTTCACCTATTCCCACAGTCCCTCCTCTAAACCTGACAGGCTTTATTTTCTCTTACAGTTCTTTTCTAAGTGAAGACCCACCTCAAAACTATTTCATTCTGTTCCTGTCCCTAGGACTGCTCCATCGCCGACTGCCTAAGGTTTCGCTGTGACGTCCCCTCATTTGGCATCCGGGAGGAGCTTGACTTCATCCTGAAGGGCAACCTCAGCTTTGGCTGGGTCAGCCAGGTGTGTGGCCCAACAACAGGGCTCCTCCCCCAGCTCCATCTTCTACTCCGTGGGTCTGTGCCTTCTTCAGGCCAGGACATTTCCTAAACCCTGAGCTTCCTCTGGAGCCTGTGCCCCACATTTCCCCTCCTCTTTTGCAGACGCTGCAGAAGAAGGTGTTGGTTGTCAGCGTGGCTGAAATCACGTTCAACAGATCCATGTATTCCCAGCTGCCAGGGCAGGAGGCATTTTTGAGAGCTCAGGTAGCGACTGCGTGGTGGGCAGTGGCTGGTCTGAGGGCTCGGGATGCTGCATCCGTGTGTTAGCTGGGCATCTGCAAGCCCAGAAGGAGGAGGGATGGAGGTCCCTGGGCAGGACAGTTGTCCTCAAGCACCTGAGTGCTTCTTCCTGTCACTACTTGGAGGAGAGTCTGGGGGAGGGAGGAATGGGAGGTGAAAGCTGGGGAATCTGGAGGAGTCCAAAGAAGGATAAGACCTGGTGCTTTACGACCTCTTATTCAGATGGAAACTGTACTAGAAGAATTTGAGGTCTACAATCCCATCTCGCTCATGATAGGCAGCTGCGTGGGAGGTCTGCTGCTGCTGGCTCTCATCACGGCCTCACTGTACAAGGTGAGTGTTTCATTCTGCTTCTGACACCACCAACAGCCGACCCCAGCCCTCCCACAATCAGGACAGAGTAGTGAGAACCCAGACCATGTGTCAAACAGGCCGAGGCACACATTTTGCTTCTACCACTTACTCACCGTTTAATATTAGGCAGGTTGCTTGACCTCTCAGATCGTGTTTTTCATTTTTGAAATGATAATAAGGCTTATACCACAAATTGGCCAAAGTGAAATCGAAATGAGACCCGGGTGTGTGTGCAAACCTGCTTGACTACAGAATCTATGTTTTGCTGTAAGTGATGATATATGTAAATATTGTACTTGGCACCCAACAGATCTCAGTGTGTGACAGCTGTTGTTTATGTAACCGTTTGGCAAACAAATTAGCTTGTTTCTCCCCTGCTTCTTTCACAGCTTCATCCTAGTTTTGACTTTCTTCCTTGCCCTCTTACTCAGTTTTTAAAATTTATTTCCTTGTACAGTTTGGTTTTTTCAAACGGCAGTACAAAGAAATGCTGACTGGCAAACCTGAAAACCCTGCCACATTCAGAGAGGAAGATGTCAGCTGTGAGGCCCCAGATTTGCCTATGTCCTAATAATCCACTTTCCCACTTATCTGCACTTCTGTGAGCTCATCCCGTCTCTGTATACTTCTGCTTTCTTGGGAGCAACTTCCGTACAGATCTGGACTGGCCCGAGGAACCAGTCTAGTGCTAAGCCACCTACTGGAGGAGTTGAAAAATTTTTACAAATTTTTAAATAAATCATCAAACCTTCTTCAGAGATGATCATCTTTTTACATAGGAGCAGGCATGGTGCCAGCATACATTTTCATGTGGTAAAACAAACAAACAAACAACAACAACAACAACAAAAAACCAGTTGCACGAAGTGAGGATGTGATACCAGAATTTCCTTGCAGGAAAGAGCTCTAACCCAGGGACCTCGCCGCTGTTCTAAGACTACTTGGTGGAATATCTTTGTGGGTATAGAAGGGGCCTCTCACTTTCTCAGGACCGTATGGCCTAAGGCCATCTTTTCTTGGTATCTATGAGTGGTATCAGGGGAGAGGTCAAAGTAGAAGTGTGTGTGTGTGTGTGTGTGTGTGTGTGTGTGTGAGCGCGCGCACACGTGTTTTGCTTCAGCACAGGCTCCAGGCTCCTTCGCAATAGCAATGAGAAGACTGTACCACCAGGTGACGAAATGTCCAGAACCCATGTGAACCTGTGTTGCCCTTGAATCCCAGAAGCCAGGAGAGTCAAGATTTCAGAAAGGAGCATCTGATCTTCCAAACGGAAGATCCATTAGAGGCCATCATAGAGAACGCCCCGAAATGCCCCAGATCTAGAATTAGAGACCCCCTGTTGACCCCCCTCCATCCCTCCTCCGTCTGGGCTTTCCATTGTTTGAAACCCACCCACCGGCCCCAGCCATCCGCCCCGCCCGCCCGCAGCGCAAACACGCGGAGCTCCCAGAACTTCCGGCCTTTATTGTGCTAGCTGTGGTCCTAGTCTTCGTAGCCCGTGGGCAGAGGGTTGACTCGAGGATTGTGGAAGAGAGTGTGGTTGCCGTCCCCCCAGCAGTAGGGCTGTGGGGAGAGGGAGGAGGGACAGCCGCATCAGCGCGGCCCAGCCTGGGGTCCCCGCTTGGGGACGCCACCGCGCGCCCTCCAGCGCCCACCCGCTGCAGGCCCAGCCGGGTACCTTGGTGCGGATCCGCAGGTGGTGGTAGGGGATGAATTCGGGGCGCTCGCTGTGGCTCGAGTGGAGCCAGGCGTTGAGGGTGCAGAGGGCCACGCTGGGGAGCGCCAGCAGGAAGGTCAGGGTGCGCCAAGTGCGCGCTGGGCGGGAGGGGAGGCAGGTGAGAGGAGGCAAAGGCGCCCGGCCCCAGGCGACGGGGAAGGGGGCGACATCGCCAGGGGAGTCGCAGGGTCAGGCCGCAACCTCACTCACCTCCCGTCCCTCCGTGGTCCCCCTTGGCCGCGCTGGCAAAGCCCCTACTCAGGGCCCTCACAGGCAGCGCCATTGCTGCACAAGAAGCTGGGAATGGCTCTGTCCTTCCCCTCTCCTTCACTGAGGCCTGACCTCTCCTCCCTCTTTTGGAGCCAATCACCTGTTGAGCCCAGAACCGGGGTGGCTATTTTTAAGAGTCTTCTATATTTAAAATGAGGCCTAGCTGGCAGGAAAGCTTCTCCAGACAGCTGCTGTACTAGTGTCTTCTATTTTGGCAGGACAGGTTTATTGCAGGACGTACCTGAGAGGACCCATGTGGCTCTAGAGAACTGACCGGCTGCTGTCTTAGGCTCTGGGGTCTTTTGTAGGGCACTGGGAAGGGGGGTTCAGTGAGAGGGGCTCTGGCTCCCTGCCTTGAGAATAAGCCTTGAGGGAGCACAGGTGTAATGTTGCAGGAGGAGGAGGCCTGGGGAAAGCACAAGAGTAATGGCTGGGGCCACAGCAGGGCTGATGGTGTCCCTAGTCCCCAAGCTGTGGAGGTGGTGGGGTGCAGTTTAGAGGGGTCTCTGATCAGGATTCCTTTAATGGGTACATTTAAAGTATAATATGCTATTCTTTATTATAGTTGCAGGGAGCTATTTTATTCAATATTCTATTCCAGTGGCTGGCACATGGTACACAGGCCATTAACACATATTTATAGAATGAACTAAGTGGATTTGTTTCCAGATAGATAATATGTACCTTAATTTTTTTGAAAGTTTAAGCAATGGAAGTGTGTCAAAACTTGTGCTTTATCCCCAAGAGAGGCTGGAAAATTGGGCTTTGTTTTTTGTCTTGAGGCAGGAATTATATTGTGGGTGAGAAATCCCCAAATACAGGAATAGTATTCAAAAGATCCTGGGCAGCCACGAACCCAACAAATGTGTTCTGCAAAGTGTATTTCAACTTGAAAGATCTCACTACTTGGAGGCAATAGAAGGCGAGGCAGGCCTGCATGAATTTGATACAGAAGCAGGAAGGCTGCAAGAGTGGTGGGGAGTACATCTGCTTTATTTTTTTAGTATCCCTAACACCGAGCGTGGAACCTGACATGAAACACTTGTCCTGAAATATGTATTCAGTGAACGCTGAATTATGTTATATTGATTAACCTTTTAGAAATGGCTTTTCAGGACCATGAAATAACAAGATGCCTTGAGCTTTCATCAAAGGATAATGTACTAATATGGACTTTATTAAAAAATGAGGACGGTGCAGTTTTCTTGTGTACTGTACACATTTGAAGTACATAGTGTTTACACTCATCTTAGGAGTAGATATATTACTTACCACATCTCAATTCTCTTTATTCTCCTGCCTTCCCCTCCTCTTCCTTCCTTCTCTCTTATCTGTACATACCCTTCCCATTTGTGAAAGGTATATGGGAAAGGTACATTTTCAGGAAGGGTTTAATACTCATCCCTTCCTTGGGTCCAAACTGAACACTAACTTCCACTTAACCAATTTCTTTTCCTCTTTTCCCTCGTACCACTTTTTCCTCATTGGGTGTCAAATATTAATACATATGGCTGTGCTCCTGAGCCATAAGGGATTCTTCCTACATTTATTTGTCCCCATTTGGACTTTGGAATCACTATGGAGACAAAGCCTTACATTTACCTGGCTGAAGCACTCTGGGAGGCTGAGGCAGGAAGATTGCAAATTTAATTAAACTCAGTTTGGGCAATTTAGTGACTTACTGAGAATTTGTCTCAAAAAACAGAAAGAAAGAAAGAAAAAGAAAAAGAAGAGGTGGGGAAGAGAAAAGAAAAGAAAAAGGAAAGGCCTGTGGATCTCTGGGTGTAGCTCTGGGTGTATCCCTGGGTTCAATCCCTAGTATAAACAAAACAAAACAGGCTTCTCACAGGGTTCCCTCAAATCCCCTCCCTACTTAGCTACCAGCTTGCTTCCTGGAGAAAAGGAAATAGAGAGGGGAACTTTTACTTAAGAAGCTTCTGGGCTCCCTTTCTCCCCCAAGGTCCCTTCACAGCCATGGTGATCTCTATCAAATACTTTGCTGGGAATTCGGTCATTTGTCCTCAGCCTGGAAGCTCCCACAGGATATAACTTGCTAAGAGCTGGTGAATACCCCAGGCTGTTAGATCCCCTACCCCGTGGTCCCCATCCTGTGGCTCATTGGCCCAAGCTCCCAGACACTTAGGTTAGTCTGTGTTTTTTATGTGGATCACAGTGTATTATGGCACGGTTTCTGTACCTACCGTGTTTCATAAGTTCTCTGTCACACAGTTAATTAATTGAATTGCTGCCAAAGCTTCCTGTTTCTAGAGGTTTAGTTTGTTTTGAGAGAGAAACAAACTCACCAGTTCTTAGGTAAACTCCAATATGCAGCATCCCAACTCTGTCACACATACTTCAAAGCTGCTAGGTCCTTAGCTTGAAGCCAGCATCAAAGCCATTTTTATGAGCGGACTTAAAGAGGAAGTGAGATATAACCTTATTTGAACTAGATTGAGATGTACCAGATCTGACAGACTTTTTTTTGTTGTGGTTGTTGTTTTAAATTTTTTATTATTTTGAAGGTAATAAAATACAACAGAACAAAGCCGATTGAGACAGTGCTGTGAAATTGGTACAGAACTTCACAGCAGTTTACTGGGACAACAGTAATAGGTACCATAGTATATCTCGTTATCTTCACAATAGTTGTTCTTTCAATCAGGTATAGCAAAATCAAACAAAATACAGAACATTATAGAACTTATCAAAATGGAATATTCAATAGAGCAGAAACATTAATCAAAACAAAGCAAAACAGTGATAAAAATATTGGCCTTCACAGAGATAGTAGAAGGAAATCCCCTCTATTTGCTGTATTGCATATGATCAACCTCCCAAGAGATGCTCAGATCTCTGGCTTGCATTTGCTAACAGCGTGAGGGGGCAGGCTCATGGCCGCTCACCAGGGAGGTGAGCTGGTTTCTTGGTTTTTCCAGTGCCCAACATGGCGCAGATTTCAGGAGACACTGATAGTTTTGAGAGACTTCTGTTATCATTATCATGGTTATGTGTAACAGCAAATCTTCCATTTGTAAAAATGAATCCATGATATGGTTTTCAACTTTAACTTACCACTTTTGGTTTTTCTTTGAAGCTATAGCTTTTCTCTAAATCTTTCCCAGAAAATTTCTGATTTGTTCCCTATGTACTATGATCCATGTTTTGTTCAGAATACATTGCCTTTTTTTGTAAAGGTATCTTCAATAAACATTTTTGAATACATGCTATGGCTTTAATGAATTAAGCAATGAGTACTTGAAGGGATTTAGTATTTGTTAAAATTAATCAAATACATTTTACATTGGGATATATTGGGGATACAGCCCAAATTGCAAAAGATTTAATAGTGTTGTAGTTTTATATTCTTCTGTTTCATAATATTGTAATGTTCCACAGCAAAATAAATCTACTGCTTGCAACCTGATTTCTTTCAAATCTCTATCTGATGCTAAGGACAAGAGTTTTGACTGTACTAGACACATTCACAATATGCTTGGTGGCCACCTGACTGATGGGACCTAAAACAAGGCTACTTTTCACCAAGGACAGACTTTGAAGTGGTGACTCCTTTGCAAAACCTTTATCTGACATCCTATGTGATGCATCCACAAGCCCAACTAGTATAAAAAGGACCCTAAAATGGTGACTTATTAATCTCAGATATTTTCTAAAGCAGTATTGTGCAACCAGTAAACACTGATTATTGAAGAGTCACTGGAAGGCCTGTATGTGACACCAAACTTAACTGTCAACTTGATTGACTTGGGAGCCACCTAGAGGATCAGTAATGCACACTTCTGGGTGTGTCAGGGAGGCGTCTGGGGAGATGTGACCTTGGGGACTAGATTTGCTTCCTGGACACTTCTTCCTCTGTGGCACTGTTCCCCTGCTCTGCTTCCTGGCCACTACGAGGTAAACAGCCTTCCTCTGTGAAGCCCCTGTGTCTTATTGGTGCCCTGTAGCCAGCTGGCTAGAATAAATCACCTAAAACTATGAGCCAAATTAAATGTCTCTCACCTAAAGTATAATTGTTGGGTATTATGAGCCAGTGGCAAAAATCTGATAATGCATACACGGTACTTACTCCTATTGCTGCTGAAAATTTTGATGTGACCACCTGGAAATTTGTTTTCCATTGCTTTTCTTTGTTTACCACTACAGAAATAACCATAAAGTCATTGAATAACAAAGTAACTAGGAAGACACACATCAGATGTGGACACTTTTATGGTCACCTTGGTTAACTTCCAGGTTTGTCCACTTTGTATTGTAGAGGACAACAATGCTGAAATAAGCATGAGTGTTAGCGTAAAACTTGAGCAGTTTCCAGGCAGAGTGGCATATACCTGTAATTCCAGCACTTGGGAGGCTGAGGCAGAAGGATTACCAAGAGTTCAAGACCAGCCTGGGCTACATAGTGAGTTCAAGGCTAGCCTGAGACTCTACCTAAAAACAAGCAACATACACACACACACACACACACAACTTGAGCCACTGGAAGTAGTTCCTTTATTCAAGTGATGTTTACTAAGTATGAGTCAAACCTGTGCCAGAATTTCTGCTATGACATTCACAGTATGCTGGAGAAGCAGGAATGTCACCAGCCATTCACAGTGGTTCACAAATTCTGCTATTTAAATTTAAACACCAAATGTGATATTAGAATTTGGGCTTTAAGTGGAGGTGACGCTCAGCTGGTAGATAATAAATTTGGAAGATGTAAGAAGGAAATGGGCAATCTCTGTGGTTGAGAAAAATAAAGCATATGCAAAGATACAGAGGGGTGAAAAGATATGGTCAGTGTACAATGGAGCAAAGCCCAATTGAGGAGTCATGTATCCCCTGCTGAGGTACATTGACCCCACTCTGTTGGGGAAGGGTGGCAGCAGGCATGGATCCAGGAGATTAACACTGGATTTAGTAGTGGAGTCTGGGCCATGACAGAAGGATGGAACTGGTGGGCTGTGTGGGTAATGAACTGGAATGCAAAGATTGGAAGCAGAAGAGGGCAGTTAGGAGTCTTGTAATAATCCAAGTAAATGATGACAAGGATTCACACTGAGGACAGAGGTACTGGGAAGGGAAAGACAGTGGAACCAGAAACTTCTCAG